TAATTGAAAAACAAATGACCAAAATTCCCAAGGAAATTATATTTTGGCATTAAATCGCACATAAGCAGTTGATATGCCGAGAAACAAACAAATCAAACCAAAAGGCATATGAAGCGTGTGCAAAGTGAACGGTTATCCCGGACAATGATAACAAACAGGACTCCATAGCTATGGAGGCAGCCAATTCAGTGATTAAACCGTATCACTGGGCGGAGAGTTTCCGAAATTGAAATCAATGGACAGGGAGAATGGTTTCCCCGGCGGAATCAACGGTCAGATGTCTCTAACAAAAGAGAGCCTTCAAATTGTTCTGATTTGACCATCGGTTGCTATTTGACTTGAAGAGGGATAGGACTCGTCCTGGTCCATTTAACCGAGGGACATTACGCATGAATAAATCTCGGGCATTGAACCCAGATGTTCCGAAAGAACTCCGCATCGATCCTATGACCACATACGGTCATGAATAATGATGATGATGATGATGATGATTTTTATGAAATAGAAAGCGGCGCGTAAAGATCATCTCTGTGTGACATTTTGCCATGATTTTCGAAAGGAGCTGTATAAATTGTTTAGAAAACTTTTAAAAGATATTATCAAGTTGAATTGATTCTAAAAATCCAGTGACCTGATGTTTTGTATCTGATTTTTCGAATCTTGGGTTCAGCTGTATTAAGACGACACGAGAAACGCGTAGAAAGAGCAAGATTGATTGATAATCAGAAATTCGATTGGATCAAGAAAAAAGAACAAGGGAAACAGATAACGGATGCAAGTGGTTTGTTGCGTGAGTCGGAAAACAACTGAGAAAAATTGATTACAAGATGGACTTGTAGACAGATAGTTAGGAATATAATTAGATAGATAGATAGATAGATAGATAGATAGATAGATAGATAGATAGATAGATAATTCTGAATATACTGTAACAGAGATCAAGACAGATAGATAAATAGATAGATAGATAGATAGATCGTTCTGAACGTTAGATAGATAGATAGATAGATAGATAGATAGATAGATAGATAGATAGATAGATAGATAGATAGATAATTCTGAATATACTGTAACAGAGATCAAGACAGATAGATAGATAGATAGATAGATAGATAGATAGATAGATAGATAGATCTGAATAAACTTTAACAGAGGGAAAGACAGCGTGATAGATATAAATAAACTCTGCAGATACATACATACATACATACATACATACATACATACATAAATCCATCCCACAGTGGTATACACATATATGGATAGATAGTTATGCATACACTGCAAAAGAAACAAAGACTGCTTGATAGATATGAATAAACTGTGACCGATACATAGACCAAGATCGATAGATATTTGCTACAATAGATATGAAGAGTAATCGATCGATAGACGTGCAAACAGACACCGAAAAATAAGAAAAAAACAATATCCACTCACGATAGACTCGAACGTCAAAAGTTCCTGTCCACTGTAATCTATATATGTATGTATGTGTATAACTATACATATGCTAGTTTACAGTAAGTTATCCTGCAAAGAAATTATGTGCAACGTGCGTTAACACAAAGAACATGTCGTGTCTCCCTTGGGAAATAATCCCCCAATACTAGATTCGTTTACGCTGAAGTCCGTCTTGAAATTAATATTGTTTTCATCAAAGCAATTCCATAACTTTGTAATTTCTTCATATGACTGTCCGCCTTTCTTTTTGATGCAATACGCCTGATTGTCTAGCGACATGGATCACTGGAATCGTGAGGGATGCTCATGCATTTCTGACAATGACCGGAAGTTTGACACCAAAAGCTCAGAGCAATGTCTTTTATCTGAAACCCGATCTGGACATAGATTCAGTCTACTTGGTTATATGGTACAAAAAATCAGTAAAAATATATAGATATAATTCACTGTTGTTTTTAGTTTCTTATAACCGTAAATCCTATAAACTTGACGCTAGATAATCTTCGAATCTTAGATGAATTAAGAATGACTAATTTTAATTAATATTTATTTGGTCTAATTTTTTGTGATTGATATGTCGTAACTTCATGTCTTTAAACATATTTATCCCGCCATACTAGTACCTAAGCATGACCACAGATACTCAATGGGATTCAGGTCAGTGGTTTGAGGAGACCGCTTCATTACCCTCATTTCTTTCTTTTCAAATCAACCCTTCCAAACTCTGGATGCGAGGTATGATGCGTTTTTTTTTTGTTCTTTTTTTTTTTTTTGGAAGATTACTCCATCTGGTATGTTATTGTTTTCGCTAATGAAAATTGGTACCATTGATTTAACATGCTTGTGTAAGTGTTGGAATTCATGTGAATAACATTCCTGTCCGGGAAGACGACATGCAGCCGTAAAGCATTACGTTTTACCTCAAAAGTTTACAGTTGTGGGAATATATTGTGTAGCATATGCTTCCCCAACTCTTCGGCGGACATAAACAACTCCAGGGATTCCAAAAATCTAATAAAAATAAAAAGTTTAAAGATAATTTTCTATTCAATAAAAATACAGTTATTAGTATCAAAGTTAGCATCGTGGATTCATCACGTACCTTTTTTTTTTTTCGAGCATTACGCTCCGAGCAAGGCGTGAAGCCACTAGGATGCAGAGGGGTTGCAGTAGATTTGGAGCGAGAGCAGATAGGAGTGATAGAAGAAAGGATGAGGAGAAGGATAGTGGGTAGATCAAGGTAACTGGAGATGTCGATTGACATTACATTTGAATAGTTATAGATTATAGCTCTCAGTAAAACAGTAATAGGGAAGGGTGTTCCACAGGCGAGAGGTGCGAGGTATGAAGCTATCGGAGTAGAAGAGACGGCTACATTTAAAAGTTTCTACAGTGAATGGGTGAGAGCGGGATGCCAGCCTCGTAGGGCGCTTGAATTCATAAAGTCTGAGAACCAGTGAAAGCATCTCATCGGAGCAATTACCATGAAAATATTTGTAAAAAATACAGAGAGAGGCGACGGCGCGTCTGTGAGAGAGCAACTGTAGACGAGATGCCAGATCAGGGCCACTTATATTACATATCCGTCTCTGGATCTTGTCAAGAACTCCGAGGTAAACAGAAGGTGCACCAGACCATATATGGCAGCAATACTCCATGCAAGGGCGAATGGTTAATTTGTAGATTTGGAGGATCGATTCCGAGGAGAAAAATTTCCTGGCGCAGCACAGGGAGCCAACTTTCCTTGCGGTGGACGAAGCAATTGACTCAATGTATTTGTTCCATCTCAGGTCAACAGTCAACGTGAGACCGAGCAGACGCAGAGAGTTTCTCTCAAGAAGTTGACTATCAGACATTCTGGGGGAAGGGGTCTCTATGGGGCGAAAAAAAGAGTTTAGTTCGCAAGGATATTAATACTGACATATTTTCTATATTAATGGATGACGTTTCAGTTTGATCGACATTGTAAAAGATGGCAGCTAAATATAGGAGGATAAAGGAGAGTCTTGCAGATGATCTATGGTGTGGACGTCCTGCAATTGCAACCACCGAGTGACAGTTGAGTGGTGATGAATAAGAAGCATTTGACGATAAATCAAGTGACCAATGCTATTAGAATATCCCGTAGTATACAGCCATGGTCAAAATTATGGGGAAGGTTTATAAAAGTTAGAAATACAATTGAAATTCATTTATTTTATCATTTAAAGAAAAAGAACAAAATTTGTAAAGTAAATTTAACCTATATTTAATGGTGTGGGCTAATTGTGCTTTTATGATTGTCTTTATGCGCTTTTGTATAATGGAAACCATCTAAGAACAAATATTTGGCTCGATTGTCTACCATTCTTCATGAAGTTTGGCTTCTAATTCGCGTTTTCAAGAATATTTGTGAACCCTCCATCTTGTACCTAAGCATGACGACAGATATTCAATGGGATTCAGGATAGGTGTTTGAGGAGACCGCTTCATTACCCTCATTTATTTCTTTTTAAATCAACTCTTCGAAACTCCGGATGTGTAGCATGGTGAGTTTTTATTTTTTATTTTTTTCTTTTGGGGAGATTACTCCATCTGGTATGTTGTATTTTTTCTCTAATGAATGTTGGTAACATTTGTTTAATATGCTTGTGTAAGTTTTGTAATTCATAATACCCTCACATGTGAATAACATTCCTGTCCGGGAAGACGACATGCAGCCCTAAACCATTACGCTCCCACCTCAAAATTTTACAGTTGGGGCAAAATGTTGTAGCATATGCTTCTCCAACTCTTCGACGGATATAAACAACTCCAGGGGTTTCACGAATCTAATAAAAATAAAAAAAATTAGAGATAATGTTCTATTCAATAAAATAGTATTGATAGGTGTAATAAAATCAATTATACTCAATAAATTAGTTTCATCTAATAAAGGAACTTACTTCAAAGTTGTTTTCTTCAGACAAATTTGGCCCAATTATCAGCCGTCAAATTTCCATGCTCTTTTGCAAAAAAAGAGTCTATTTTTATTAACCTCAGGCATCTATTGTTTTTCCTAGCTTTACAGCGTTTGAGGCCAGCTTCTACTAACCTTCTTCTCAATGTGCGAGTCGATACCACTTTTTTGTTTTCGAAATTCATCAGTCACTTTCGAAGAGTTTTGTTTGTACACTATGTCTTGAGCATTTTACTTTTCCTGCAATTTTGACTTGGCTAACCCTTCTTTGAATAATGCAATGATTTCAGTCATTTTAGTTTCAGCAATGTTTTTCAAGAAAGAAGAAGCACTTATAAATTTGCACTAAGCTTATTACTAAAACTTAGAAAAAAGATTTAGCATTACAGATGTGATGGAGGCTTACCTCGCCGAGGCAAGAGAAGGCGGATTGAAGGTACATGTGCTTGTAGACATGATAGACCTTCGAGGCGAACTTCGGCATCCCAATATTGAAGTGACACAGCGCATGCGTTATCGGAGAGAACGAGACTAACATAAACGAGAGATCTCGATTTCTTCCCTGAACGAGGAAAGATAAAAAGAGCTGACTGTTCATTTAAGGAGCAGTTTTGTTCTTTGAGACTGGTAAAGGTTATACCCATGTTCCAGAGAAAGAGCGATAATACTGTCGTTTACGGTGTGCAGTAAACAGAGTTCCGAGAGAAGCGTTGTTCCGGTTTCCACGTTAGCTGTCAGCGGGAACAGATTCAAGTGGAAATTTATTTTCCTATAACCCAATTGTCGTTTAATTCTCACAACCGATTCAATTTTAGCAATACAGATTAAATTTCAATTAATGTTTTCAGTTCGTACGTGTTACAATTTTCATATTTCTAACTTTTCAACACATATCCCATAATTTTGTCGTTGGGTGTATATTCTACCCTGTATGCTGTATATTTGCCTAGCTTTGTCTGGAGGGGTTCTCCCCTTTTTACACAAATTAACTCACCCAGTATATACATATACTACGGCTATGTGAAGACCCGAGAGAGCAAAACAGAGTCGAGTCGAGTCGAGTCCAGAGTGACAGAGTAAAAGGTTGTAGATAACCGGAAGAGTGAGGGTGAGGTAACAGCGTTGTAGGGGTCATAGTGAGCGAGCACGTAGACTCAGTTAAGAAGTCATACAACGATACTTCAATACCAAAGACGGTATATATATTTTGCTACTAACCCGTATTCCTGGAACTACTAACCTGCTTTACCAGTTTGTATTATTACGTTAATATATTTTTTTCATATTTTCATTCCTGGCGTTTGTTATTTATTGGTACCGGATTTCAACCTGGAATCCACAACCCTTGCCTCACACTGCTATACATCATTGTCAGGATATTCGACTGATTATCAAAGATTTAGCGTTGTCATCGTCAATTCACCATTAAATAATTATACTTCCCCTTAGTGTATGGATGCGTATAACACTCTTTGCGAATCTATGAGATTTCTCCTTGTATGATGAGATTAATGTGTAGCTTTCTCTAAATGGGTATCATGATGTGTATATTCAGGACATGGGTGATTATGGATCGCCATAACTTCCAATAATTTTTAACTCTCAGTACTCTTTAGTATGATGTCAGAATAGACATTGTACACAATTCACACGAGACATGAAAAGAGTAAAAAGTAACTTCATATCTGTATCCAGTTGACAGGCGTTGGAAAATATTTTATAATATATAAAAAAAAACACCCTGGGACTCTTGGGCTGCTTTTCACACATAGAATGACAAAATGTAACGATATGTATCATAACAAGGCCCCTTTATGAAGATTAACATACTGATGCCTTCTGGTATTTCACCGCTATCACATATTTCATTTATCAATTTGATAACCGTATCAAAATTTGGGGGGAATCGTATCATATTTATTACAATTTATTCTGAGCATACAATACAGCTTTATTTCTCCTCATTTTATCTTGGATTTATATACAACGGTCTTAGTTTTTATGCAATATAATTTTATCTCTGATATCTTTATGCCATCTATGTGATGACGCCCTTCAAAAATAATCTTGAGCATAGCGATCGATATGATTTTCATGTGTCGATCTGGGTTCACCGGCCCAAGGATTTTGTTAGTTTTTAGTATATATAGTCACTCGGGTGGCTGACAGGTCAGGCTGCTTCTCTGTTCCCAGTGAAGGCACAGGTCTGAAATTCAGAGTTTTCCTTTTAGTCTGGTTGCAAACCAATACCAGAGAGTCTAGTCAGTGGGGAGGACAAATGAATTGATTCGTTTCATTTTCAATTTTTTTTTCGTTGCTTTGTCTGGGATATTCAGCTGAATTCTAAATCTGGTAGAAATAATATAAATTTAGTTACCGAATGCTATATTTCTGTTCTGTCAAAATGCAGACATTAAATGATATGTCTTACTATTAATTATCATCAACACAATTTAATAAGAATTATGTGGTCAAATAATTGATGGTATTTATTCCAACGCTTCTAACTGTGGTCTCCAGGCTCTGATTCCCCATGGCTAGGAGACCATTTTGAGAAATATTTGCCAATATTCATACTCAAGGCATTGGTTGAGATTTTGTCCCACTTAAAACGAAAGCCTTCGAATAATGATTTTTATTGTGGCAAGTTCTGTTCCCTTTGAAGTTTGACACACTCTACCTCATGATAAGCATTATGTTTACTTCCACTCCTAGCGGCTATAATCTAAATAGCTATAAAGAAAGATACACAAGGTCTGAGCGGCTTTTGTTGGAGGCACAAATTTTGATAAATGACATTAAGCTAAAATTATAACACAACAAAAATATTACTGTTTTTTATTAACTTTTTTCAGCTGAATATGAGATTTCTTTTATAAAATATAATGGCACAAAATGAATTTCATCAAATTAGATACCTCTTTCCTAGGCCAAGCGTAATGGCCACTATCCCGGGAAAATTAACGTAAAATTGTCACCGGACCGATTGAATTCACTTTTGACAGATAGATAAGTGGGATTTACAATATACAATTCGCAATTCATAAAAATTGTTACTTTTTCATTCTTATTTAAAAGTCTAATTTCAACACGTATTATTAAAGCGAAAAGTAATATTACTTTAGTAACTGAAAGACTTAAATTGGGTCGAGACAAAAATTCGTAACGTTTTTTTTTTTATGAATGCCAAACACAATATTCACATAGATATACAGAGATTTTTACACCACATCTGGGCTATTTTATTTCGCTATCATGTGTCACGTGTGAGGAAACGTCACGATTAAATCATTCCTGAACGGGGCATCTTTTTGGGTGATAAACTTTTCTAAATAATTGTACAGGTTTCCAGATAATGTATTTCCCATTAGGAGAACTTTGTATGAATTGAAATACATATTAAAGCGAAGGTGAAAGATTAGTTGAGGTCAGCTGGTGTATTAGAACATACTAGTACAGTTGTATCAATATCTACCTGATCTGCAAAGAAATGTGAGGTTTTGGTAATACTCTGATGAAAGACGAAACCATTCCGATCGACCATTCCGATCGACCAGTTCCACAGGCTTCCCATCGATTACTGTCTATATTCGGCCAAATTGGTAATAGTATTTTAATCTCTGATTTCACGGAAGGAGCTTGGGATACACGATTCTTTTCCACGAAATACACTGTATCACCTTTTTTGATTGCAGGCCGGGTTTTCAACTGGTAAAAGTCTTCATTGTTCTTTTTCCACATGATCTTTTTCGGTTCACATTGATATAAATTATCCCCTTTTCATCACCTAAGAGCATTCTTTTAAATAACAGATCGTTGTTTTGCGTTTGAATAGAGTATCACAAGAGAAAGTTTTCTCCTTTAAATTATTTCCTTTAAATCATGCGATATCCACACAGCATAGCTGTTTACAAATTCAAGTGTTTTAAAATGCCTTACAAGCTCTTATAAGATACGTAGATTATCTCTAAAATGTCCTGTATAGTTTGACCTGGATTATTTTTAATCGACGTTTTGATTTGTTCATCAACAAGGATTAATCTTTATCTGGCGAACCACTTACAAAAAATATTCTCAGGTACGGCACCACCTCTATAAACGGCACCTATGATTTTTGCTGTTTGTGCAACGTTTTTCGTCTTCCGTGGATGAAAGAGGATCAAATGACGAAAAGAAATCTCATTTTCTTTTATTTTCAATTTTTAATGTAAAAAAGATTTCAGAAATTAACACTCATAATAGATAGACAATAGAATAGAAAGACGCATTCATATGCTAACATTCAGAATAGGAAGTGTTGTCATGAATTTAAGTCATGAGTGAAAGTAAACAACGTATTTAAACGTCACTTAACGTTACGAATTTTTCTTCCAAAAGAATTACTTTATCTCCGAAATATATGTAATTTACTGGAAAACGCGTTAATATTTAACTTACTGTGGTTTTCCGGTATTTCACCTCTGTCATATATCTCATTTATCACTTTCATCAACTCATCAATATTGTTTGGGGGCCTTATTGCAATTTATTCTGAGCATGCTATTAATCCATCTCTCCTTCCACTAAAAATAAAACCTATTACGGAAACTAATTTTGACTTCCACCAATGAGGTTCTTTTCTATGACAATCAAAATAACATCTACCTACAGCATTATGGCATTTCCATGGTTCACTTCTTGGACCAACATTTAATAACCTCTACATGGCTAACCTCGAAAGTAAAATATTTAACACCACTAAACAATCATTCATCTACTTAAGTTATGTATCATGAAATTCTCATCTTAGCTAAATCTACAAGAAAATGTTTAAAAAATACCTTTCTTAAATTCACATATGAACTTAACAATAGCAACAACATTCCTTTTTTTGATGTGTTGAAAAACACTAATAAGAGTACATTTACTATCTCTCTATATAAAATACCAATTAGTATAAACAGTTGCACGATAAACTATAAAAACAAATATTATGATTATTACAAAGTAATATTATATGCTAGTATACATACTTTAATAAACCATGCAAATTTAACTGTTCCACGAAAAGAAATTCTACACGGAATTAAAATCATTAAACAAATTCACATTAATAATGGCTTTCCTAATTACATTATTGATGAACTAATTACACGAGCCATTAGAAATATTATCATCAGTCAAAAAGAAAATATAGGAAGGTACTTGTTGACAACACCAAAAAACAACATTATGAAAATAATAAAGAAAAGCTTCAAATTGTCGGGGCCCTCAACATCATAAGCAACCGACCCACACTGAACAAAATTTATCATGAGTATTATAGTAGCAATAATTTAAAAAGCATTTGAGTTACTAACATTTAACACCATTTTGCTATTTGCCATCTCGGATTATCCCCTTTGTATTGGGAACGCTTGTTTACAAAACATCGTAACCACAACGGTTAATTTTAAAATAATTGTAGCGTACTTGCAAAAATTGCCATTAGAGTTACATAAGTTTTTCTTCGCAATTGAACCCTGTAGATGATCTCGAAGTAGATCGAAATTACTTGGGTTATCAAAATATACGGCGCTTTCCTTGATGAATTTCAGTTTAACATCAAGAAGATAATTA